CAGCAGGTGGCGCGGTGTGCCCCCGTCCACTCAGCGGGGTCGCAGCTGCCTCTGCGCGTCCTGTGGATGTACCTTTGTCGCGCGCCGGAGATGACTCGACGCCGCTGAGATCGGAGATTCAAGCTCTGACAGGTCGCACGTCGCTCCTTTGACGCCGACGTGACTCACCCGTGCAGATCACATCAGGACACGGTCTCGACGCGCTCGGTACGACGCCTGCGACCCGTCTTGGGTCAAGTGGCACGACGCTCATCGCGCCTACCAGCGCTGCCGTGCAGGTTGCCACGACGAGGTCGAGCACGCTTCTATACGCTCGCCCAGCCTCCCTTTCCATCCCATTTGGCAGCCTGAGAACGGTGGCGGTCAGAGGCAAAGCATACGAGGGGTGGTGGAACCACATGTCGCGGCTACTGCCGGCTCGACCCCACGATAGCCTCCGAAGGCTGACTTTGAGGCACCATCATCGGACGATGTCGACGAGTTGGGTCGCTCTCGCGGTAGCCAGGTAGCCCCCCATACTAGTAGCACCGGCCATGGCCGCAGGAAGCTCGGGGGAGGGCGCTGGGAGCAACACGGAGCTCCGTTGGACGCGTTTTCAAGATTAGCGTGTCAGAGTGAATTGGAACTAGCCTTGAGAAGCTGGCGCCGCACGCAGGCGGACCTTGTGTATGTGCGGCGAACGCTTAAAAAATGGGTGATCTACGTCACTTTTTTGGAGTAGATCGTGCCGAGCTGGCCGTGACAGCGATTTTGGTAGTTTTTGGCGGGTGTTGCACCACAGACTTTTTGCAACTAGTCAAATGCGCTTAGTTTCGATCCGCTCACAACTCAATTCTATCGACGATGGCAAAAGCAGCACAGCCTCCGGCAGCAGCCTCCGGGCCGCGGGCGTGACGCGCAGAGTCTGCATCACACACTGCGGAGCGCGTGGGGCCGGGAGCGGGTGCGGTGGGGCAAAACTCAGTCGCTCTTTGGTAAGCCCCTCCGCCCCTCCCGGAACTCGGTTTCGCTCCAGCCTGCCGCAGCCAGCAAGCACGCCCGCCGCGCCTCGCTCAACCCATTCTCCTCGGCATACCGCGCTAGCACCTCCCGCTCGCGCGGGTCGACCACGCCGTCCGCAAGCACCGCCAGGAGCAGCAGCCCGTACCTGCGGTGTGAATAGCTGGCGGTCTGCCTGTGTTGGTTGGAGCTCACTAGCTACGGCTCACACTCTGTGGTCGCTGCCTGCCTGTCTGTCCGTTCCGGAAACTGGAGCGGTGGTACCACGCTATGTGTTCGGAGCACCGCGTGAGTACGAGGGAGGCGAAGATGGTGAGTACCGCTGCGTACGGCTGAAGGATGCTGACAGCGGCCTCCTCTCGAGCGCGAGGTGGGAGTACAAAGGTCTGTCTTCGGCTTCTAGCGAGCCCAGACTCGCGTTCCACGTCCTCGTCGCTGCGGACGGCCGCGCCCTCGGCACCGGCCTCTGGCGGCGTCAACTGCTGCTGCTGCTGCAGCGGCGGCGACTCGCCAAACTCCTGCTGCTGCTGCTGCTGCTGCTGCTGCTGCTGCTGCTGCTCGACTGTCGCGCGCTGCAGGGCGGTGAGGCGCTGGTACGCGGTGATGAAGGGCAGCACGAGGAGGCCGATGACGCGCCTAGCATGGTGAGCTCGCCAGCATCAGGCCGTGAATACGGTCTCGCGCCGTGTGGGCGCCTCAGTCCTCTCGAGCGCTAGTTAGAATACAAGCATGCGGAGACATGGCGAGAGGGGAGATATGGCGAGGCGACGCTCTGCATGGGGAGACATGGCGAGATATGGGGAGATATGGCGAGGCGACGCTCTGCATGCGGAGCCTTCCGCTTCTAGGATGACGCGCCACGGCGCCTCGGCAATGTCAACGACGCGGCAGATCTTGCCGCTCTGCGTGTCGACGCGCGCCTGTACAGGCGGGGCTCCGAGAAGGCTCCAGGAAGGCTCCGAGCGGGGCTGCGGATCGCCGCTCCGCGTAGAGATGGGGAGGGATGGGGGAGGACGGCCGAGGCTGAGGTGCGATAGCTGTCGAAGTTGGAAGACACGGGTCGGCGTTTCCGCATCTAGGCCTCGAAATCTGGGGAGACCTGGGGAGACCTGGGGAGACCTGGGGAGACCTGGGGAGACCTGGGGAGACCTGGGGAGACCTGGGGAGACCTGGGGAGACCTGGGGAGACCTGGGGAGACCTGGGGAGACCTGGGGAGACCTGGGGAGACCTGGGGAGATCTGGGGAGACCTGGGGAGATCTGGAGAGATCTGGTGTCGACGCCTGCGAGAGGCCACGGCCGAGCGGGAAGGGCGCGTCGCCTGTGGACATGTCTCGGACATGTCTCGGACATGTCCTGGACGTGTCCTCAAGCCCGAAGGCCGCGGTCGCCGCACTGGACGTGCCACTCCACGCCCACTGTGTCCTCGCCCTCGGCGATGGAGTCCACCTACTCAGAGTGGTCAGCGACTCTTCGACATCAGGACGCAACGCCCACAGCAGACGCCGAACTGCTGAGCGGCACGAAGGTAGGTAGGTAGGTAGGTGTTACCTCACACTGTCTAGGCAGAGACAAGGAGGGCCCCCGCACACACGAACCCACACATACAGAGAGGGACGAGTGCACGCATTGGGCATCAGAGAGCCATAAGTGTCTGTTGCTGAGTGTTTGGCCTGAGCGGCACGAAGGTGAGGGCCCAAAGGACCGGGGGGGTCCCAAAGGACTGGCACTGCACTGGGAGCGCTAGGCATCGAGGCACGTGTCTCGGTAGTGTCTCGGCAGTGTCTCGGCAGTGTCTCGGAAGGTCTGGGAAGTGTCAACCTCGAGCGTGAGCGGCGGCAACAGCGACGCAAACGGAAGCCCGTCTAGTAGGCGGCTGCTCACAAAGGCAGGGTGGAAGCGTAGGGCGCCTGCGTGCAAGGCCAGCCGTCAAGAGGCGCGCCGTGCGCCGCCTCCCCTCCCGCCGTCGGCACGCCGCGCCGCCGCCGCCGCCACGCCGGCCACGTGTCTCGGAAGTGTCTTCAGAAGTGTCCGTCGGACTGGGGCGGGGAGGCGCGCGCCGATGAAGGCCTCCTTGCCGCGGCAGACGGTGGCGGGGCCGAGGAGGAGGTCTTCGTAGACGCAGTCGTCGGTCAGGAACGAGCCGACGCACGCCGCGTCGCGCGCGTTGAACGCGGCGTACAGCCCGCGGATCGCGCGCGCGGGAGTGAGCTCGCCCGCGGGGAGGTCGTCCGCGTTGAAGACGGGACCGGTCGTGGTGGCGAGCGAGGCGTCGGCGTAGCGCTCGCCCGCGCCCTCGAGCCCGTCCGGCCGAATGGAGCCCACCCGGACCCGGAGGCTCGCGGCCGAGGCGCCAGCCTGCCCTGAGGGCGGAAGACTGGAGATCTCGTCGGATGACCCGGCCGCGACGCGGATGCGCTCTCGCAGGCTATCCATCAGATGCTCATCGTCAGTGGCGTCCGATGCCATGCGGACGTTGAGTAGCAGCCTGGGCGCCGGGCGCCCCTGCACGGGAGAGACGCATAATGGGCTCGCCGTGAGAGCGAACATGGAAGAGCAAAAAGTCTAAAGAAAAAACCAGGCGCCGGCACAAAAGAATTTTACATACCCGATAAATGGGGCGTAAATGGCACAAAAATTCCTGTTATATCTCTCACAGCTGACTGGACCTGCTGGGGGGAGAGCTCTCACTCACCCGTGCTGGCTAGTGCGAGAGCGACACTTGCTTGACACACTGCCCTCGTCGAGACCTCGAGAGCTACAAAAAGGAGCGTGCTGATCTGAGCGTGCCCCCCAGCCCGGCGGGCTCTCTGCCCTGCACCCCCCACCGCCAGCAGCACACACCTCTCCCCGACCGGCTGTCATGCCAGCCGTCGTCAACGACCCCGCGGCGTGGGCGAAGCTCGTCGGCGCAGCGCGCTCAGGCAAGGAGGGCTTCTTCGCCTTCTACTCGTCGGTGGCTGACGCAATCACCACCAACGTCTCCCTGATGACGCTGCCGGTCGACGACCACGCGATTGTGCGCGGCCACGCCGTCTTTGACACCTGCTCGCTCGCGGAGGGTCGGATGTACCGCCTCCAGGTCCACCTCGACCGCCTTTTCGCCTCTGCGGCTTCGGCGCGGCTTCCTCTCCCCTTTGGCGGGGACGAGGCGGCGAACCGAGAAAGGATCACCGAGATTGTGCGCGCCACGTGCGTCGCGTCGGGCCGGCGGAGCTGCGACGTCCGCTTCTGGCTGACCGCCGGCACCGGCAACCTCGGCGTCACTCCCGCCGGCTGCACGCCCTCCCTCTACGTGCTCTGCTTTGGCGGTCTGCCACCACTGCCAGGCTCCGAGGATGCGGACACGGTCGGCATCTCGGAGGCGACTGTGCCGGAGAGCGTGGCGCCGTCCTCTCGTCGGCCGCGCGCTCACCTGCGGAGACGGCGTCTTTCACGGCGGCTGTCTGAGCAGGAACCGCTCCCCGAGATCGCACATCACGCCTCGCGTGTCTGCCCCGCGTGTGTTCCGCGTGTGCGTGTGCCCCGTCGCCTGTGCCAGGACGGGTGTCTCACTGACTTGCTCGACAATTTCCTAGACACTCGCTAGACGCCTCCTCAAGGCTCGGGCGTCTAAGCAGGTGCCGCTCAAGCCGGCCGCGCTCGCCGAGCTCAAGTCGAACAACTACCTGCTCAATGCGCTGTGCATGCTCGCCGCCAAGGAGCGGGGAGGCACGTACGGCATCGGCGCCGCCACCATCGCCGGCGTGCTCGAGTTTGGAGTGGCATCCCCTCACCGCGGGCGGGCCGTGAACAGGCGTCGACGGCGCGGGCAACGTGCTGGAGTCGTGCGTCCTCAACGTGGCGATCGTGGACGGCCACTCGGTCCTGCGGACACCGCCCTTCCGCCGCGTGCTGCGAGGGACGACGGCGCGGCGCGGGGGGGGGGGGGGTGTGGCTCGCGTCGGAGAGATGAATTCACTCACAATGAGACGGTCCACTACAGGTGCGTCGCGCGATGGAGCTCGCGTCGGAGAGATTAATTCGCTCACGGTGAGAGGATTCATTAAGGTGCGTCGCGCGATGGAGCTCGCTTCGGAGCACCTTGTGCCGCGCGGCGAGCTGGCGGGGGTCGTGCAGGCGTTTGGGTGGTGTCTGTTGCCTCTGGTCACGGCCTCTCTGCACCCGCCTCTCTGCACCCGCGTCTCTGCAACCGCCTCGTACGACTCCGTCTGCTGAGTGCCTATTCACAGCTCGCTTTCACAGCTCGCCCAGCTCGCTTGTTCACGGCTCGCTGGTTCAGTTCACAGCTCGCCGGTTCACAGCTTGCCATTCACATGCAGGGCCCGCTCACCGTTGCCGACCTCCTCGCGGCGAGGGAGGTCAGGGGAGATGCCGCCGAGATGTGGTCGTAGTACCGAGATGCAGCCGAGGTGCAGCCGAGGTGCAGCCGAGGTGCAGCCGAGGTGCAGCCGAGGGGCGCTCGAGGGGCCGCCGAGGCTTCAAAGAGGTCAACGAGATGAACAGACCGCCTCGAGGAGACGCGCCCACCCTTCCCTCCCCCGCCTCCCTCAGGTCTTTCTTCTCGCCGGCGACACGCACGGCTACCCCGTCGTCCGGCTGGATGGCGAGCAGATCGGCGACGGGAGGCCGGGCCCGGTCTACGCGGCGCTCAAGCGGCTCCTCCTCGAAGACGCCGCCACCGGGAACGCGCACCACGAGCCGCTGCAGGCGGGCGGCGCGTAAGGTAAGGTAAGGTAAATTTCTCCACACACACAAAGTGGTCGTCGGGGGGGAAAGGGGGGCGACCCTCGGCGTCGCATCTCCACAAAAAAAATTGCTTTAGCTAAAAGAACGGGCACGCATAGTCTCCCCCCTCCATTCTCTCCCCCCCTTGGCGCGGGCGCCCCACTCCCCCCAGCCCCTGTATCGCGTACTAGCTGTGGCTACCGTGTAGGCCACACTTGCGTCGCCGGGGGTTCCCTGCCCAGGCGCCTAGGTGGGAAGCTGGCCGCCGGTCCTAAAGACCCATCGACCAGGGTTTGCTAGATCGCGCGGGGTGAATGAGTGATGAAGTTAGTGCCTTGGTGTCCGTTCCCCATGGTGGCTTCCCCTGGTCTCTAGCGACCATGAATGAGAGCTCTCACTCCCAGGGTACTCCCGCGTATCTCGGCTCCCTTATCCCCCCCCTCATCCCTCCCCTTTCTCTCTCCGAGATGACCCGTGCTCTACGTGCCAAGGGTCGGTCCTCAGGGGGGGGGGAATTGGCGATGTGTCATCGTGGGTTGTTTGTCGATGGACGCCCAACAGTTTCGATTTCCCTCCTTAGCGCCCCGGGTAGAGCGTGGCCTCCCCTGGAGCCTGCACGCCCGTTCTGTCTAATAAGCCCAGGGTTCAGCTTTCCAGTTGATCCTTATCGGACTGGTGAGTTCCGTCTAGCTGTCAGTGTGGCGTCGCAGGGAGTCGTTGGCGGCGGTGCTACACACACTATGCCTGGATTCGTTCTCTCCAATCTCGCATCTCCACACCCGGAACACGGGGGCAGGAGCCCCGCGCACGGCATTCAAAGTGCAAGCACTGGCCCGGTGCACGTGGGTTAGCAGCCTGCCCCTCCCTCCCGACAAACCAACTCCCGCACAACAGGTCAACACACAATCGCACTCTGGCCATCGAATGACTCCGAATGACTCACTAAAGACAGAATCTCCGCAGACAGCCAAAACGGGCCGTGCCGCGTTTGTGGTGTCCTCTCAAGCACTAGCATCCGGGCGCCGCACTCGAGTGGACGGGTCACATCTGTGTGGGCCCAGTGCGCACTAGGCGCATATGCTAGTGCTATCCTGCCCTATGGGAGGCAGAGGGATGGGGGGAGGGGGGGGGGGGGGGCAAAGGTAAGGTGGGGTGAAACTGGGGAGGACCTCAGAGATCCTCCATGGGGGTGGGGTCCGGCTCGAAAAGGTCAAAGTGGACGCCGGTCCCGCCATCGCCGCCGACGCCGTCGCCCTTGTCCGCCTCGGAGGCGGAGGTCGTCAGGCGGGGCGTCTCGCCCGTCGCGAACCTGCCGCCGAACACGGCGTCGGCCGGCGCCGAGGCGCCGGCAGCCGTGATCAGGTCGGCGATCTTTCGGTCCCTACAGGCCGCATCAATTTTGCCGCGCCGGGACGGCTCGTAGAGCTCGTTGGCGAGCCAGTCCCGGGCGACCTTCGTCGCAACGGAGCCCAGAGGGACCGTGGCTTACACCAGGTCGCCGAACCCGCTACCCCCCTCCCTCGGAGGCAGCGAGCACTCCCTTAATGTGGGTAAACCATAGTACCGTATACGGTACTATGAACAGAAGAAGCCCATAAAAGTCGCCGCGGCAGTCCACGCCGAGCCGGCCTGCTGCCGGCTCGCACGGCAGCCTCTTCCTCTCGACCAGCCTCAACTTCCGTACAGTCAACATTTTGTCGCTGCGTGCTCGTGGCGAGCTGTGGCGGCGGTCGAAGTTCGCCCAGATTCGGTGACGAGCGCCGGACGATAGTAGTGTCTCTGTTTGCCCTGTGCATGTCAGGCCAGGCTGCAGCAGGGCACTACCATCGTGCTGCCCTGCTGCAGCCTGACTTTGCCCACTGTGCACAGCCGCCAGAGCACCACCACCGCCCGGTATCGTGTCACGGCGAGCTTCTTCTGCGCCCGCTTGCGAGGCTCTCGCGCTGGTACACTTTGGCCATCTGCTGCTCGCGTTCGGCGAGCTCTTCTCCGCACTCCTGCCATGGTGCCGCCACCACACACCTTCTGGCCGGCCTGGGCCGCGCGGACTCGCCGGCGGGGGCAACGTCCTTTAAAGTCTCGACAATCACTAAGCTGCTTATGTGGCACCGCAGAGGCTCCCTTGGGCGCACTGGCACTAACACAGGTACTTCTTTTTTTAATGTCCCCAGGCACTAAAGTTGGAGTCGGACTCGTGGCGTAGCTGCGCGTGCGGGCAGTCCGTGCGCTCGGCCTCGCTCGCGGCCGCGCGCTCGCCGGCCTCCTTCGCCCGGCGCGCCTTCTGCCGGGTCTTCTTGGCCCTGCGAGCCGCGGCCTTTGCCGCAAGTTGCTCCTTGGTGAGCTCCTTCTTCTTCGGCGCGGTGCGCTCGATGTACGAGCGCTCCGCCGCCTGCACCGACTCGCGGTCGCCCGCGGCCTTCTCGTGCTTCAGGTCGACCTCGATGGTCGCGTAGCCAGGCTTTATCACCCTGACACAAGACGCACCGAACAACCTTGCGACACTCACTGCGTCCTCCAGTTGTGCGCGATCGGAGCTATTCCAGGGTCCGCTGCGCCTCCCCGGCAGCACGACGGTGGCCGGCGCTTGCGCGCCAGCCCCGTCCGCCGCCGGTTCCGCGGCCGCGGTCCCTGTCATAGCTACGCGCGCCATGGGGCGACGTGCCAGCACAAAGGGCGGCGCGTGAGATCGACCTGCCTGAACTAAACGGCGAGTTCCATTGCAAGACCGGGTCTCGTTGCGCACACTCACCAAGTGGGGTATGAAATAAGGATTTTACAACAAAATAAGGAACAGAAGCTAGAAAAGGTAAGTACCGCGGACCGCGGTGAAGTGAGCTTTTTACGCAGGACCAGGAGCCTGCAGCGTGCAGGACCAGGAGCGCCAGCGGCGCCGCCAGGGCGCAGGGGCAAGGGCCACAGCGCACAGGCTCAGGCGCCCGCCCCGGCGGTTAACGAGAGCGCTGCGCTCGTTCACCGCCGAGCGCTCGTTCACCGCCGGGGGCGGGGGGGCGGGCGTCTGGCGGCGTTGGAGAAGGAAGGCCTCTGCGCTCTGGCTCCGGCCCCCAAAGCCGCGGTTGCCCGTGTTTCGGATGAGCTCGGGCTGGCCGCCAAAGAACTCGTGGCCGAGCACGACGTCCATCGATTCCACGTCACATCCAGACCCCCCCCCCACCCCCACCCCTCAGATCGGATCACGGATCAGGCTGAACTGACATAAGGCGCGTACGCCGCCTGAGGTCCCGTGCACACTAGTTCTCACACACAAGAAATGCCGTCCCCGGACGGCGACGGGTATTGACGGGCTCTCGATGATTGCATGCTGGTTCTCAAGCATGAAAGTTGCAATGAATTTCGCGTAGGGCCCTTAGGGGCCTAGAGAACACAACCCCCTCTCTCTTTTCTCCCAGTAAGCTAAAAGTACGACAAAACTCCCTCGCACAACACTTGCAATGAAATGCGCCGTGCTAGCGTCTCTGCGCGCGACGCACCGATCTTGATACATGTCCATGTGCAGCGGCGAACTCATGGTGGCATTTACTCTGCTATTCACCACGGCCCACGCCGGGGGGGGGGGGACACGTGTGAACACAGTGTGTGTGAATTCAGGACGAGCAGCGACCCCGGCTAGTCGCCGACCACACCCACAAAGAACCCTGCACAAACATCGCAAGGGCGGGGACCTGTTTTTTTACCCATCTCACAGTAGAGAGGTTTGCGTTTTTATTTATTTATTTATTTATTTTGCATCTGCATCTGGGGGGGGGGACGTGCGTCTCAACATGGTCAGTCCAGCCTTCCCAGACCACATGGCCGACCAGACCCCATGCACCGCATCCGAGGCCAGAACCGACGACGCTGAGCGATCCGAGGCGATCACTCCCGCTGCCTTCTACGCCGCCGCCGCCGCGTCCGCTCTTGGCTTCGGTGGCGGCCGCAGGACTGTGGCGACAGCAGTCGCTGCCAACAAGCTGGTCTGCTCGAAGGACTACTACAGTCCGTTGACTGGACACCTGCTCCCGCACCTGCACCTTGTGCACGAGGCGCTGCGGCCGGGGCGCGGCGGTCGGCGCCGGCCGGCCGTCTGGCTTGCTGGCGATTCATCATTCGACAACAAGGCGTGGGTGCCTCACGACTGGTCGGCGGCACGCAACGGCTACGAGAACGCCTTGGCCGGCCCGATGCAGGAGGACGTCTGCTTTCATGTCAACGCGGAGCTGCAGGCGCAGGGCCACGGCGGGCCCGAAGGCCACTTCTGCGTCAACGCGGCGGTCGAGATGTCCCTGCTCTACGCGCGCGGGTGTGGGCTCTACGCGCAAGACGAGTTCCTTCGCGACCACCTCGAGGAGCAGGACACCCTGCTCGTCTCGGTCGGAGGCAACGACATCGCCCTCCAGCCCCTCCTCGCCACGCTCGCCAACGTCGGCGCCCTCGCCCTCACACCCGAGGCAGCGCCGGCCGGAGAGCGGACCCGCCGTGCAGACAGCGTCTTGCGTCTCACGTGCGCTGTGGGGTTGAATAGGCGTGCCTCCGGCCCGAGCGCACCTGCGCCTGCCCGCTGGACTGCCCCTTCGACGCCGACCACGCGACGTGCGGGACGGCCGCCTGCCTGCGGACGGGCTTGGCGGGGTGGCCGCTCGGGCTCGGCTACATCGTCGACCTCTTCCGCAACAAGGTGGAGAGGTACGTGCGGCGGCTGGTCGGCAAGACGCGGCCGCGCAAGGTTCTCGTCTGCATGATCTACTACCTCGACGAGGCGCCGCTCCCCACCACCACACGCGCAACTTCCTACTCGAGTACTCCGGCACGCCCCCGCTCGCCCCGCAGGTCGCGTGCACTCCGTACGGCTGGGCCGACCCTGCCCTGTGCTGCCTCGGCTACAACTGGGCGCCCGCCTCCAACCGAACGCCTCCCGGCGGTCGATCCACCGTTCACACCTTTGGCTGTGGACAGGCGCCCGGCCGGCTGCAGCAAATGATTCGAACCGTCTTCGAGCTCGCCACCAAGAAAATCCGCGTGCCGGGCGAGCGAGCGCCCCCCGCAACCATTCCAAGTCGCACGTAACGCCTACTCACGCTCCGACAATGAAATAGGCGTCGCAGTGGTCGCTTTCCCGCTCTTCGAGGTGCTCGACGGAAAGACGAGCTCCGACTACCACTCGCGTGTCGAGCCCTCCTCTGCGGGCGGCCGCAAGATGGCGCGCGCCCTCGTCAAGTGCGCAATGGCGCCACTCCAGCCGGCTCCCCGCCAGCCGCCCGCTCCCCACCTCCAGCCGTGGGTCGAGACCCCCCGCTCACTGAAGGTGCCCACGCCGCCGGAGCCGCGCGAGATGGAGCGCGAGAATGCTCAGGACGACGGCGACACGGACCCAACGTGCTGAAGGTCCGTATGTCTGCGCCCAAGAGGCGGATTGAAGCGATTGCTCGCCAATCCTCGTCGGGTCTTCAGTCCGCTCCCGTCAATAGTCGGGTGTGTACAGTATTGTGTGCATGTGTGCGGTGTACTATATGTGCTCCATGTGTGGACGCTGTGGCCTCTGTAGAGGGGGGGGGGGAGAGGGAGAGGGAGAGGGAGAGGGAGAGGGAGAGGGAGAGGGAGAGGGAGAGGGAGAGGGAGAGGGAGCGGGAGAGGGAGAGGGAGGGAGAAAAAAGAAAGAAAGAAAACAGACAACCCAAGGGAGGGATGGGAGAACGGCACGCCAGGGAGGGAGAGGGAGAGAGGCGACTTGTCATCCGATTTCTTTTGCGAGAGGCTTGTATCTCAAGAATTCTTTTGCGAGAATTCTTTTGCGAGTAGCGTCAATAGGGGTAGCGAACCAGAAATCAAGAGCCGAGTGGCAATGAAAGAGGTCGACGTCGCCGCGGACCTCGAGGCTACTCTTCCCAAAGCGGACCTCGAGGCAACTCTTCCCAAACTGCCTCCGCTCCCCTCGCCAACGAGCACTGGTCGCAGCCCAACTTTCGGCATAGCCCTCGTGATCGTCACCTTCGCAGCGTTTATCGGCTTCACCGCCCTCTCGCCATCCGGCCTGCGACTGTATCTCCTCATCTGCACCCTCGTCGAGACCGGTGTCGCGCTGGCATGCGTGTGGATCGTGGTGTACGTGGAGCCGCCGCACATCCAGCGCACACCGGAATCCACGCTTCCCATCCCGCGAGAAGTGGAGACTCGCTTAGCGGCGGGCCAGACGACTGAGGGCATGGAGAATGTGAAGGACGAGTCGGGTCGGACGTTTTGTGTGCGCTGCCTCGTCTGGCGGCCGAGCGGCGGCGTCGAGTCCAAAGAGGACACCATTTTCTGGCGGCGGCGCGCGAAGCGGCAGACGGCGCATCACTGCCGCTACTGCCAGCGCTGCGTAATTGGTCACGACCATCACTGCTCGTTGATCGGCCGCTGCATCGCGGGCGAGGGGGGGGCACGAGGATCGGTGAGACTCCACACCTCTCTCGCGCGCCCTGCGGATCTGCTTCCCACACGCCTCCGTTCGCGTCAACAGGGCAATCTCAAGTATGTCCAGCTCGGCTTCGCGATGGCAGGCCTGGCCTTCCTCACGGTGTGCGTGGCGCTGGCGGGCACGGCCTTCACTTCTTGACGCCAACGGGGCGCGGGGAGCTGCTCCCCGTATTCCAGTCCGCGTCCACGCATGCCGGCTGCGACGCGCGGAGAGCAGAGTCTCTGGTCATAGTCCCGATCCCCGTGGTGCCGGAGCGGGGCGGGAAGCGCGATAGCCTAGCGAAGTAGCGATGGAGCAGCACAGCAAATGAGCCTAGCGTGTAGTGTATAGGGAGGAGACCGGAGAGCATGCACAAACCCACACGACAGGTGTCGACCCTCCTGAGCATATCCTCACACGATATAGCTTGTGCACTGATAGGGTCGATACCGCATGGTACGGGACCCTATGAACGCTATCTAAGTGAGAGAGTCCTGACGAGACGTGTCGTATATCGATTGTCGTCGGGGACTCGGGAGACGGAGAGCGAGAGAGCACCGCGGGGGAGGGTTTATAGAGGTAGAGAGCCGTAGGCGGTACCAACCACTCTTCCGGTTCCCCGCACGGGGCACGGTCCCACGGAATTCGTATTCGAGGAGATTAAAAATTGAGGAGATTGGCCGTATGAGCAATTCAACCGGGCTGATTGTTTTCGCTGTACTCTATGTAAACTCAGGCGGAGATAGACTGAAGACAGCCAGATAGATGCCACAATCTGAGAGAGATGTTTAAGAAGGAAGTCTTCCTTCTTAATCTGTGGGTCTAACTAAAGCCGTCCCCCCCTAAACACAAAACACACAACGTTTTGCCGTTTGTCGTAGCTCCACAACATAACCACCACAGCACTCGAACTCGTTGCCGCACTGAACACGTTGCCCCAGGACGACATCTGACCGCTCGGCTGTCTTCACACTTTTTTCTGTCTCCATCCATGACTCTTTGCTCTTGTCTCTGCATGTTGCCGGTTTGTACGTTTGTTTTGGCACGTCCCCGGGTGTCGTACTGTGTGTTGTGTTTCGGTGGTACATAGAAGGTGAACACAGAATAGCCAGGCTCTCGCGGCGGCCCAATGGGGGAGGCGTAGACGCCGATCCGATCCGCGAGAGATCTCCGCGCGTCAAGTTGGTGTCGGCAGAGCGCAGACGGGAGATATCTACTGTAGACGATACCGTTATCCGCTCGCTCTCCCCGTCCCGACTGCCCGACTGCGCCTCTGGCGAGTATCTCTGCGACTCCACCCCGGGCGCGCTCGCAAACGGACCCGCAACAGCACCGATATTTTTAGACGGCGCGGTCGCGGCGCGCGCTCTCTCTCCTCGCACGGACAGTTTCAGTTCTGCTCACTTGACGCCGACAGTAAAAAGAGGCGCCCAGACCCCACGACATAAGACACAGTGTGCACGCGCGACGGCGCTGCGCGGGACGTGAGAGAGATCGAGGGACAGATAGAGCCGCGCGAGGCGGAGAGTATACTCGCACCGATAGCCCCCGCGCCTCCAAGACTCGAGGGACATACGGTCAGGCGCGGCGCCACCCGCCGACCTGCTGCCGAAGCGGCAGGACCCCTAGAAGCTGGCAAACTGCGCTCCCGCGACAGCGATTGTGGGGACTAAGATAATGAATTTCGGGTACCCGGGGCGGCGTAGCCTTCGTCGACCGCGCTTCGTCGACCTCCCCCGCCCATGCACCTCTTTGCCGTCTGCGCCATCGCGCCTGCGCACGGCACAGCGCCGCAGCTGCAGCGCTTGCGCAGCGCAGCCTCAGATAGCAGGAGGCGGCAGCTGGCGGCGGCCGCTACGTCTGAGGAGCTCGGCGTGGCTTGGCTGTGCAACCAGAGCGCGTGCGAGGAGACCAACATATTCCTCGCGTCGGAGCCCGCCGAGGCCGATGGTGTCGTCTGCGAGCTGCAGAATGGCCTCACATTCGGCGACGGCTCTCCTGTCTGGGCGTGCGGCAAGGTGGGGCCGAACTCGCCGCTGCTCTCTCACAACCCGCCGCCGCCGCCGGCGGCGGGGCGATCTGCTCCTCCGCGGATGCTGCACGCGGCTTCGGCCGCACCATCACGGATGCAGTCGCCTGCGCTGTCAACTCGGTCGCGCCGGCTGGCGGCAGCAGCGGACGACGGCGAGCTGGCGCCTCGTTCCGTTGCCGCCGCCGCGGCCGCGGGCCTCGGCTCGAACGCAGTCATGTGGGCCTCCCTCTACAGCGTCGCCACTACGGGCGGCGGCCTCCCTGCGGGCCCGTTCGGCGTGGTCGGCCTCGTCGAGGGCGTCTCCTATTTGCTGGTGGTGGGGCTCGCCGGTGCGGCGCTCTACGGCAAGGTTTCCACCGGGTCTGGCCTTCCGTTCCTCAGCGAGGCGCGTGGCGAGCGGCCTGGCGGCTTGCTAGGCGCTGCGGAGGGCCTCTCGTGTCTGTCGGTGGCCGCGGGCGCCGCCGTGCTCCTCCTACTGCAGGCGAGTCAGGGCTGCGTCCCGAACGCTCTGCCCCTAGCCGACTACTCCGACCGGGTGGCCGTGTGCCGCTGAGGCCTGAGCACACGGTGCTGAGACGGAAGCACAGGAACGACCTGTCGGCTGTCGCGCGCCACTGTCTCATCATGTAAAGTACAAAAGCTGAACCTGAAACGACATGCCATATCCACGCGAGTCAGCACAAAAGAGGAGCTCAGATGTCAGAAACGAGAGATCAGACATCAGTGTCTGCGGAGCCGCGAGAGAGATGAGAACAAACTGTTAAAAAACTTTTTGAAAACAGTCTCCCCACATATCGGTCATCCCGCGCTTCATCGCACGTGTCAGTGAGACGTGTGGCCCCGGCGGGACGGTATACGAACCCGGCGGACACATGCAGCCACGCGCCCGCGTTGTCCACTTGTCCTATCTGCTATCTCCCGACCGCTCACAAGGATTACTGGAATAGTATCTCGGCGCGCACGAGAGATGCCGACTCTACTTGATCTCTCTCTGGACTCTGCCGTGGGATAAATAGATTGAGAGGCAGGGCGGGGGCTCAAATTGGACCGACGTCGGCATGCTCACCAGCGAGTGGTTCCGCGCGTGCGGCCCGTCGTCAGCTGGGCCAGTTCCGCCGGCCCCAGAAGAGGGGGGGGGAAAGGGGACGGTTGGCGGGGGAGGAGGAGGTGGGGCGGATAAGCCTCCTCCACGCGAGAGAGCTCAGTGCACATGCGCCGCCGGCAGCCTGCTTGTGACGGCAGGCGAGTGGTCGTCCTCCGCCCAGAGCATCGAGATGGTGCGGCGGACCGAGAGCGTGTTGTGCGACACCTCGCGCGAAGCGACGGCGGGCGGGCCTGCGCTCGCACACGGCCGAGGTGTGGCACTTGAGGTGTGGCCGAGGTGTGGCCGAGGTGGCCGCGATGCAGCCGCGATGCAGCCGAGGTGCAGCCGAGGTGCAGCCGAGATACCGCCGGACGGCGGGCGGGCCTGCTATCTCGACGCGGCCCGTCTCCGGGTTGCAGACCACCTCCGCCTCGTCGGGGGTGAGGTAGCCGTACTCACCGCCAGACGAGGCGGCGGAGCAGGCAGAGTGCTCGCGCAAGCAAAGCGACGGCCCGCGGCCACCGCCGCCGCCTGCGCCGCCGCCACCGCCGCCGCCGGGAATGCTGTCCCGCAAAGGGTTGCCGCACGGCAGCGCAGGCAGGGGCGGCAGCGGCGGCGGCAGCGGCGGCGGCAGCGGCGGCGGCAGCGGCGGCGGCAGCGAATGCGGCAGCAGCAGATGCGGCAGCGGCGGATGCGGCAGCGGCGGATGCGACTGCAGCGGCGGCGCCGGCGGCAGCAGCAGCGCAGGATGGCCCAGCGACGGGGGCAGTGGCGGTCGGGCAACAGGGCTGGGCAGCGGCGGCTGGACAAGTGAGTTGGGCAGCGGCGGCGGCGGCGGAGGCGGCGGCGGTGCGACTGGTTCGTTAGGTGTCGCCGGCCGTCCTGGGTGAGGGACGTGGCTCGTCGCCGAAGTCACCGCACAAGGAGGCATCGGCGCGGGCCACCGCCGGGGCGGAGGCAGACTGGAGGGCGTGAGGCTGATTGGCGAGCGAGGCGACTCGGGCGAGAAGAGCGAGGAGTAGAGCGCCGGCGCCGCGTTGCTCGACCGCCGGCTGCTGCCGCTCGTCGTCGGGCTGCCGAGCGGCGCCGCAGGTAGCACCGTCCTCGGCAGCGTCAGCGGAGACGGCGCTCGCGTGCTGGCGGTCGGTGAGACGGCGGGCGAGGGGGGAGGCGCAGTCGCGTCGGCCGTCTCCGACGACGACTTCCTCGACCGGCGCGCCCGCTGCCCGCGCCGCGCCTTTCCCTCGTCAGACGCGTCTGGCTTTGGGGCGGCAGCGGCGGCGGCGGCGGCAGTGTTGGTGGACCTCGACCGGAGCTCGTGAGCTCCGTGGGCAAACTGGCAGCGAGCCCCGTACGGGCACTTGCCGTCGCGGGCCCAGTTCTCGCACTCGACCGTCTTGTACCGCAACGGGTCCTTTGCACGAGCCGCCGCGGCGGCGGCGCTGGCTCGCGATCCGCGCTTGGCAGACGGGCTGCCGGTCGGCTTCTGACCGGAGCTGGGGCGGTTGGCCTTGCTGTTGCTGTTGGCGAGCGGCTGCACCGCCCGCTGGCCCGAGGAGGGCTTGTTCGACATCGCGGTGGCTCTGGACTGGGTTTGGGGGCGCGTGAGAGCTGAACGGGACGCGTCTTCGACCCGGGAGGGCGATCACAGCGGCGATCTGCGGGAAACCCTACCCCTGCTAGATTCATCATGTTCACTGTCATCAATCATGAGGCACTTAGCTCTGTGCACTCGCCCGCCTCCGCCACACAGACAGGCAAGCAAGCAAGCAAGCTTATTCTAATCTGCTCTGCGAAAAAGAAAGATATTCGGCGGAAAAAGAAAGAAAGAAGATTCCACCTTCGTGAATCGCGAAACTCGTGAACTACATGTAGCGGGGCAGTCGGAGAAGGGGCAACTCCGTGCACTGACGCCTGCGTGGATCGCGTCACACCAATCCTCGCTACCCAACGCGGCCAAAGGATACGGAGCCTGGTATCCACCTGAACCTGAAGAATCCGTGGCCGCCAGCCTTCGGCCCCCCGGCCCCCGGCGAAATTCGCGATCGCGGTCGGTCTGAGGATCCGTCTGAACACAATCAACGAGCCGGTTTAGACCAACAGGGCACGCTCCGCGGCCTCGCATGCCGCCCTTCGACAGCCCAAAGGGGCCTCCAACGGCCGATCTCCACGCCGCCGTCCGCCGGTCTCCTCGCCGGCCCAGCAACGGCGATGGCGTGACGTCTCTCGTCGCAAACGCGGTAAATACAAACCTACTCAGGCGTGGTGGCATGGGCCTCATGGCACCGCCAGGAGTGCATGGGCGCGACGCACGCCACAGCGTGCGCGAAGCGAGGAGGCACCACGCCGAGTCGGCGGTTCACCTCAACTTCATTTCCCTCGCCGCGATTCCGTCGCACGAGGCGCTGGAGCAGTGCATGGAGGGGCGGCAGGAGAAGAAGCGCCGCGTCTTCTCCCCGCCCCCGCCGGCCAAGCGCCACGCCAGCTCCGCCAGCGGCGCCCGCCGACGCGGCGCAGCCTCAGCCTGCGACAAGTCGGAGGAGCAGGAGCAGGAGCAAGAGCTGTCGAGCCTCAAGCTGACCGAGATGGTGCCGCAGCGCAAGGGGGCGTCGCGGCCTCCCTCCAGCCGAGGCGGCTCCGCCGTCTCACTCTCTCGCTGCGAGTCGCGTTTCTCCCTCCTATGGGTGCGACCGCACCGCCTCGCCTCAGCCCGTCTCTCGCCCTGAGCCTGCCTCTCTCGCCCTCCCTGCTGCCTCTCTCGCCCTCCCTGCTGCCTCCCTCGCCCCCCCTGCTGCCTCCCTCGCCCCCCCTGCTGCCTCCCTCGCCCCCCCTGCTGCCTCCCTCGCCTCCCCTGCTCCTTCGCCTTCCCTGCTGCCTCTCTCCTCTCCCCCTCCTCCCGGCTCGCTCCCGCCTTGACCCTGCCCTCTCCCCTCCCGCCGCCGCCCTTGCTACCTCCCCTCCCGCCGCCGCCGCAAAGCTG